TGTTCTCCAGCAGACCAGCAGACCAGGGAGACGCGGAGCAAACCCCGTTCGTAACTGCGGATCCGACATAAGTCGGATCCGCGTAACTCAGGGACTGCCTGTATAGGATCTGAATCTATTCCCACTGACAGTGAATGACAATTCTTATTAATTTCTGTGGGAGCAGGATTGGGACTACAGTAAATGCTTTAATAATGTGAAGGGAATTTTCCCTTGTTGAATCATATTTGATCCTACTGTTTTGAAAAAAAAAACTTTAAAATATATCAGTAAGATTGTATGTGCTGGTGCTAATTCCACTTACAACACAAAATCAGACAATGCTTTCCCATCATCACCTTTTATTTTTTACAGGAATACTGATACTTGATGAACCCACATGTGGACTAGACAGTTTTACTGCACACAACCTTGTGATAACATTATCCAGGCTCGCCAGAGGAAACAGATTAGTTCTCCTTTCAGTTCACCAGCCCAGATCAGACATCTTCCATCTCTTTGATTTAGTTCTTCTGATGACCTCTGGAACTACAGTCTATTCTGGAACTGCTCGAGATATGGTCCAATATTTCACAGAAATAGGCTATCCCTGCCCAAAATACAGCAATCCTGCAGATTTCTATGGTTAGTATCAAATGTGATTAAACAATTAAAAAGCAGGTGCACAAAAATATTTATTTTTGTAAGCTTACGTAATGCACTGATTTTTTTATTTAATTATGTTTAGATACTGTCTGGTGCATGATTTATAAACCGATTTTATTTAAATGAGACCTTTGTTTACTCTTTGCTAGAGTAACAGTTTAGTAACAGTTTAAAAATAAGTGGAGCTGTATGGTAAAACTAACTTTAAATAACTATGTATGTGACAATCCATTGACCTCTGCAAGCTATGGCTAATGTTTGCACTTGCTTGGTTTCACACACTATTAGTCTCATGTCTTAAATGCTCTAGAGATTTCTGCACCTATTACAAAATAAGAGAGCCAGTCAGTTGTTCTTCTACAGAGAGCTCTTTACCTTATGTTTTTTAGGATGATAAACTGGTTTTCTAAGGTAAATAACTTCACCATGCCCAGGGTGTGGGGGGGGGGAACATTATGCTAGTTATTGGGGTTCACTGTTGTACGCCAGCTGGAGGGGGAGACCCCAAACAGTTGAATTCCTGTCAAGGTTCCTCTTGGCAAAAAAAATCTGAAGTCTCTGTCTCAGGTTCCTCTCTGGAGTCACCAGTATCTCGGAGGCATGACTCCTGGCTGTGTCTGGCCCATGCCCCAGTGGCTCAGAGGGCTGTGCGCAGCTCAAGGAAGGTCTTACTCTGAGGCCAACACTCAGACCTGTGGTCCCTGGTGGATTTGGCCCAGTGGACACTGGCTGCCTTACTGCAGGGTCACCCTCCTCTGGGTGTGTCTGGGGTTGTGTTGGGGGAGTGAGCGAGCACCAGAAGTCAGGGAAGGAATCACTGGCAGAGGCCTGGGCTTAGAGAACAAGACCTTCTTCCCCCGGTCATCATGCAGAGGCTTACTTAGGGTGTTCAGTGCGTCCATGTGGGGAGACTGCCACAGAGACACTCTGGGAAATCTCCTTCTTGTTTGGCTTTCTCTAGGCAAGTTCCCTATGGTTAGTGTCCCTCATGATGCTGACCACAGAGTCACTACCTCGAGCTTAGTGCTCCAAACGCACTGGCGTCCACAAATGCAGAGTTATGGCTAGAATGTCACTGGACAGTCCTCTCATATTGGCCACAGCGTCCTGTGAGTAGCAACCAAAGAGCAGCAGCCAAAACCCCCTTTTCACCGTCTGGGGCAGCCTCCCTAGCAAGTCACCTGGGGTGTTTCTACACAGCAGGGCTTAACTTAAAATAAGATACACAGATTGAGCTACATCAGTTGGGAGCGTCTACACAGCACTTATTTAGAAATAGAGCACTCTTCCTCCGACTTCCCTTACTCCTCATACAATGAGGGTTACAGTAGTCGGAGTACAGAGTCCTCCAGCTTGCCAGTATTTCAACATTATTTCAAAATAACTGCCTGCCATGTAGACGCAGGCTAAGTTATTTCAAAATAATGTTGCTGTGTAGACATACCCCCGGACTGCTCTCTATCTGGTAGCAGCCAGATCCCCCAGCTCAGGACTAGTAGTAAGGGCTGGAAGGCAAATTAGAACCCCCCACCTAGATCAGGGCAAGGAGCAGCCAGACTTACCTGTCCACCAAACCAGGAGATTGTCAGAGCCAGGCAGCAGCATAACAATTTCTCTATTGCAGCAGTTCACTCCATTAGGTGACCTTATCAGCCTTACACCAGAATATTTATTGCCTACTAGCTAAACAATCGATTGCATATTAATGTGCAAATAAATGTTTGCATATTTCCTTATGTTTTCCAGATTTCTGATAGTTCAGGCTTTATGGAAATGGGCAACTGGAATGTCTGAAGAATTCCAGTCCTTCTAATTAAGGGAAAATGGTGCTATAAGGAGAAAAAAAATGTGTATTAGTTGAGTGTGTCTCTACTACTATAGTCTCTACTACTGTTTTCAAAGATTTATCTTTCATCCTGCCCTGACATTTTGTGCTACTTGTCTCAAATCTGAGCACCGTAAATTGGTTGTTCACATTCGAAAGTGGTGGGGTAGTGGTGGGGACATATAATATATTGTGAATTCATTCATGGAAAAATCTGCTTAGACTGCCTACAGACTCAGGGTCAAATTAGTAGCTTATCAGCTCCTTGCACTGAGCCTTGATCATCTGTTTATGCAGTGTAATTTATCATTTTGTAATCCATAGCTGGCCAAGTTTGTGTGCTCCTACGCTCAACCTGATTGTTTAACCATGATTGTTTGGGTGACAGGATGTGATGTGATAACATTTGAACACTATGTCTGATCAATTCCAAAATGTTAGGACAATGTTCTAGGTATCAGTGGGCAGAATGCTATTGATTTGGGTGAAAATGGGAAAGATGAAACAGGGACACAGCTCCAGTACCTGGTAGCAGACTTGACACCTTCAACCACCCCTATAATTGCCCATAAGGGCATGGCTACACTAGAAAAAAAATTCAAAATAAGTAAAATTGAAATAACTCCTGAAATAACAAAACTGAAATAGCACATCCGCACTACAAGCCAGCATTGAAATAGCTCAGAATTATTTCAAAATAGCACGTTCGCACTGATTAGAGCCTGCCTCAGATTTAGAGCCCCCAGAAGTGCTCTGGGGAGAGCACGAAGAGGGTGGACAGTTCTTGTGGCTGCTTAATCAGGCAAGCTGTAACACGTGCTTTCAGTGGCTCCTCTCTACAGTTGCATCTCACATGCCACTCCTCCACTGCCTCCCCTCGTGCGACACCAAATGGATGCAGTGTGCTTTGGATGCACACTGGTGGACACCACAGCACTCACAGCATGGAGCCAAAACTGCTCCAAAGCAGCTCCAGGCTCATGGGCCTCATGCTGTGTCTCATGGCGTGGTTTATCCACACTGCCCACATGCTGCTCCAGCAGGATGATGACCAGCCCCAACCAGAGGACACCTTCACCCAGGTCCTGGCGCTCTTGCTGCTGCAAATACCCCTAAACCCCCAGACACCATTGAACGCTGCTTCTGGCAGAGGGAGACCAGTTCCGAATGGTGGGTCTGCATTGTCCTTCAGCGATGGGACAACCAGCAGTGGCTCCAGAACTTCTGCACACAGAAGGCCACTTTCCTGGACCTGGCCGAGACCCGCCATTCCCATGCAGAAGTGCATCACCATTGCCCTATGAAAGCTCACCAAGCTGGACAGCTGCCGCTCAGTTGGGAACCAGTTCGGCATGGGGAAATCCACAGTCAGGGACGTGCTTCTGCAGGTAGCCAAGGTCATCAACAATGTGCTGCTACAGAGGGTTGCCACTCTGGGCAACATAGACACCAACGTCAATGGCTTTGCCGCCTTGGGCTTCCCCAGATGCAGGGGGCCATAGATGGCACTCATATTCCCATCCTAGCCTCGGACTATATCAACAAGAGGGTGTACTTTTCAATGGTGCTGCAGGCCCTTGTGGACAACAAGGACCAGTTCATGGACATCAGCATCAGCTGGTGGGGGGAGGCACACGATGCCTGCATCTTCTGGAGCTCCTGCCTGTTCCAGAAGATGTACACCGGCACTTTTTTCCCTGATTGCACCATCAGGGTCAGGGACATGGGCGTGCCCTTGTGCATCCTGGGTGATGCATCTTCCTCCTTCTTACTCTGGCTGAAGAGGCTGATAAAGCTCTACACAGACAGCCTGGACTCCCCCAAGGAGAATTTCAACTCCAGGCTCAGCAAGTGCCACATGGTCATGAAGCGTGCATTCGTCCACTTGAAGGGGAGAGTCAGGAGCCTCCTCACCCACCTGGACCTGAGCAAGTGAAACAACCCCTTTATGGTGGCAGCCTGCAGGTGTGCCCTACAACCTTTGGGAGAGCAAGGGGAGACTTTCCTGCCAGGGTGGGGGGGCAGAAGCTGAACAGCTGACCAGGTCTTTTGAGCACCCAGACACTAGTGCCATTCAATGAGCACATCGGGGGCTGTGCTCATCAGGGAGGCCTTGTGGAGAGTTTCAGCCAAGATCAGCTGTGAGACTCTCCCCTGGGCCTCTCTACAAGGGGTCCCTGAATTGCCCCTGTGTGCCTTTCCTCCCATACGCCTCCTGCCTTCCCTTCCCACCTTCCCCCTCCCCTTCAGAGCAAATTAAAAAACCTTTTTTCTTGGAACAAACAAGTCTTTTTATTTGGGGGCTCTAACACAGAGGAGAGACTGGGGAAAGACTCTGCAGTGGGGAGGGGGAAAGAAGGGAGAGCAGGGCTCAGGGATGGGGCTGGGAATGGTGCCTGCTCTGTTCAGCTCTGGAGGCCTCAGCTGCCCTGGAGGTCCCACCTCCCCATGTTCCGGGGCCCCAACAGCCCTTGGAAGGCTAGGAGCAGAAGCCAGGGGGCAGGGGTGGGTGTGGTTGTGGCTGTTGGCCCACTCCAAGCATAAGGCCATGCACTCTATCACCAAGGTGAGGGAGGAGTATATGGCCTGGTGCTGGCTCGACAACTGGTTACAGACAGCCTTCCCCTGCTCCCAGTCAGTGCGGTGCTACCTCCTCCCACCCCGTGGGCGGCCCACTCCTGGCACTTGTTGTTGAGCCCCGGATGAGGGACTAGAGGCAGGCCATTTGATCCCATAGCAGGTTCTCGTGGATTCTCTTTTTCCAGCCAATCCTGCGGAATGGGAGGATGGCATGAGAGGTGGTGGATGTGCCACACTGTAGCTAGCCCATCTGTGAAGAAAAAGGACAAGAGCAGTCATCCCAGGAGACAGTGTGTGTGAAACCTAACCATAACCTCTGAACAGACACTGAAGACGTTGGCGATGTGCTTTGAGCAAAGCCATGTGTTGCCCAGACAGCAGGCACTTTCCTGCAGGGGCACAGACATCCCAGGAAGCAGTGCTATACCCATGGCTTGGGGACAAGCAGGCATGGGAAGGTGCCGGCCAGGCCAGGACCCTGCGGGCAAGGGGCGGGGAATGGGGTGACTCGGCTTCCTTCTGTGTACTGCACATGCTGGGTCCTGCTGCACTGGCAGCATCCTGCAAAGAGGGAACTTCTATCTCTGCTTGCTTGGGGGGCAGGTTGGGAGAGGTGTGTATAAGCGCCAAAGGCTGCTTTCCAGAGAGTGCTACTGGGTTCCCTTCCACCTCCTCCCCCTGGCAGGTTCCCATGCAGGAGATCTGTCTCTTCCCCATCACTGTGCTTGACCGAGAGTGGCTGCTGCCCAAATATGGGCATGAGCCTGTGCTGTGTGTAGCACTGCTATATGTTTCCATGACCCTAGCCTCTTTAGTGAGAGCTTGTTGTAGGAAGGTGTCCCACCATGGAGGATGGAGAAAGGCAAAGTTCTCCAGGAACTTTGTAAGGAGGAGCGAGGGGTTCCTGTGTGAGAGCATCATGGAGTTGAATGCTCCAGACTGGCGCTCCATGTGCACCCATATGCTCAGGCTGTTGTGTGACTCCCAGGCTGAGTAGGCTGAGAAGGCTGAGAGAGGAGTGCACAGCCCCTCACAGCTTGTCCCCTGCCCCCACGTGTAGATAGGGAAACTTATAGAACTCACCTGAAGTGCGTTCCCCAGTTTTGTACAATGCCTGGGAGACATCCTGAGAGAAGGGGACTAGTTCCAGGGTGAGGAGCAGCTCCTGCCTTGCAGGCATGGTCACCTGCCTGGCCTGCTTCTCCTCCTCTTCCTTCTCCTCCTCCACAACCCTGCCTTTGTGGAGGCTGATGCCAGGTGTGTCCTGGCCAGACTTGATGACAACAAGATGGGGACCGGCCCCTTCCCAGGATGGCATCGAGATGTCTGTAGTAGCGGCACACAAGCAGTGCCGCCCCAGAGCATCTATTCTGCTCTCTGGCCTTTCCGTAGGCCTGCCTGAGCACCTTAATTTTCATGTGGTCCTGGTCAAGGATCTGTGTGTCTAGACATCGATGTTGTGCATTCTGGTGTGGAGATCTTGGAGGTTGGTCTCCTACCTCAGACCTTGATGAGATCTAGGATCTCTACACCAGTCCAAGCCCGTGCTCGCATGTGTCCCTGGCCATGGGCACCTGAGGGTGCTGTGGGAGTGCTGGCAGCCGTCGGGGTCTCTGAGGGAGCTCTAGGGTCGGCCATGGCTCCTGTGCTGGTGTGGTGTGGCTCAGGGCTGGCAAAGATCTGCACGTGCCACAAGTCCTTTTCCTGCAGCCTGTTACTTTAAAGGCTCCGCAGGAGAAGGGGAACACTGGAGATGTCAGGTGTGGCTGGAGTGGCTACAAGTGCAGCTGTGAGAAGCCTCTGGAGGCCAATTATTTCAAAATAACAGCAGCTGAGTGCCCACGCTCACTCTATTTCAAAATAATTTCAAAATAAGTGTAATTCCTCCTGGAAAGCAGGTCGTCAGATTTTGAAATAACTTTTGAAATAACAGGCTTGGTAGTGTGGATGCTCCGTTTGTTTTTTCGAAATAACTCCCTAGTATAGACCAAGGCAAGAGCAAAAAAACTAGTTGATGGCAGCCAATCCCATATTCTAGCATAACAATATCTCCCCATCTTAATTGAAAATGTCAGCACTCTGTCTGACTTAGTTTTCAGACAAATAAAAATGGTGGAGGGGAAGGTGAACATAGGGGAGTAGGAGAAAAAGGGAATCCTTGTGGAGGAGAGAATGGAGGACATTTATATGGGAGGGAGGCACACAGAGCCCTTGTGATAGGGGAGAAGAGGGTACAGTGGTAGAGAGAAATATAGGGAACATACATAGTCCCTGTCTGTGACAAACAGAGCATGAGAAAGCAGACAAAGCCTTCCACGCATTGGAGTACATTCCCAAACTAGAAAGAAAACTATTCATATTGTAATAGTAAAATATAGTGCTGTAGTGGTCAACCTTAAAAGCATCCACTTTTTCCTTTGCTAATTACATAACACTAATTCAAGATGTGCATATTTTCTAGAGAAAATATAGGGAACACTGCAACTACTGAATTAATGGTATTGTGTTATGTAAAGCGATTGAAAAACATTTTAAGAATGACCACTGTAGTACCATATCATACAGATGTGCTTATAGTTTGGTAGATTCTACAAAGGATACAATTTATTTTTAGCAATACAAATATGAATAAATGATCATATCTTAGGTACATTGACCCATATCAGATAATGTTTTGCAGTTGACTTGACCAGCATCGATAAACGGAGCAAAGAGAAGGAGATAGAAAGTCAGAAAAGGGTCAGGTCACTTGCCACCTTGTTTTGTGAGAAGATCAAAGATTGTGATGACTTCTTATGGAAAGCTAATGAAGGAGACTGTGTGACAACTGTTCATAGTGAACAACGGTAAAGTAATAGTGTTATTTATAAAAAGAACATGATAGGAAATAGTTGCTGATATTGAACTACTTTTTTTTTTTTTTTTTTTTGCTTTTGGTCAGTTTCCTTGTCACTTCAGAAGAGGTGCATTCCCCTTCAACTGATCAGTTACCAGGTGGCTTAAAGCAGTTTACTATATTACTAAGGTAATCTTATTATAAAAAGAAACTGATGTCTTGCAGGAATAACATTTAAAAGTACAATGGAAATGAATAAACAACAAATATTCTAGTAGCACCTTAAAGGCTAACAAAATATGTAAATGGTAGCATGAGCTTTCATGGGCACAACCTACTTCTTCGGATGACCGTTTCAGGTTGGGTTTTTTTTTTTTTTGGTAGTCTTTAGTGGGATCATAGCAGAGAGGCTTGTAGAATCTGGTGTTGGTGAGTTATCTGGTCGCCTCCTGTTCATAATCTGTTCTGTTCATAATGACTACAGCGCCCCCTTTGTCAGCCTTTTTTATTATGATGTTAGAATTGTTTTTGAGGCTGTGCATAGCATTGCATTTTGCATAACTGAGGTTATATGTTGTTTGCTGACAATGTCAGCTCGAGCACATTTGCAGAAGCAGTCAATGTAGAAGTCAAGACTCTCGTTACGACCATTAGTAGGGGTCCACATAGAGGCCTTCCTCTTGTGGGATTGATGGGGAGAGGAGAGGGAGCAGTAAGGTCTGTGTGTGTTGTACATTGGTATGTTGGAAATATTCCTTTAGGGGGAAGTGGCAAAAATAGGCTTCCAGATCTCCACAGAACTGAATCACGTTCGTGCGGGTGGTGGGGCAGAAGGAGAGTACTTGAGATAGGACAGATTCCTCTGCTGGGTTCAGAGAGTGGTCGGATAGGTTGACAACTTTGCTAGGTGAGTTGAAAGTATTGGGAATGAGAGATCCTGAGGTGTGTAGGAGTTTGGATAGTTTATTGTCCGTTTTCTTTTGAAGGGAGATGAAGTGATCCTTGTTGGTAATTTGTTGAATTTTAGTCAAGTCTGGAAAAGATGAAGTGTATGTGGACGCTTAGTTTTTTTATGTCACTTTCTAATGTTGAGAGCTCCTCCTTGATTATCTTCTGTTTGTTGTACAGAATGCTGATAAGGTGGTTCCTGAGTTTCTTTGAGAGAGTGTGGCATAATCTCTGGCTATAATCTGTGGGATATGTAGATTTCAATGGGTTTTTCACCCTCAGTCCCTTAGGCATAATGTTCATTGTTTGCACTTGGAAAGGAAGATGATGTCTGTTTGGATCTGTGCGAGTTTCTTTGTGCAGTTGATGGCTTTCCACTCCATACAGCTGAATGCAGTGCCTTGCATGTTCAAAAGCTTCAAAGGGGTAGCCGAGTTAGTCTGGTAGATAACATCTGAAAAAGTGGGTTGTGCCCACGAAAGCTCATGATACCATCTACATGTTTTGTTAGTTTTTTAGGTGCTACTAGACTATTGGTTGTTTTTTAAGTTTCTCCTGTTACAGACTAACTTGGCTACTCCTCTGAAGCTTATGGAAATGAATGTTCAGAGAGAAAAATTAAGGGCAAGTTGAACATAGGTTGAAAGTCAGGGGAAAGCTGGCAATGAGTTTGTGTCACACTGGAATATAGAAATTCATACAAGATCAGATCATAGGTCCATCCCATATGCTGCTACTCTTACTTCATTCTTCAGAGAAAGGTAGCCACCCCTTTCCTTCAGTCAACCTAGCCAGTTGTGCCATGCTCCCCCTAGCAAGAAGATTCAAAAAGTTTCAACTCCTTTTGACTAAGACATCATGAGGCATGAAATTTGTTTATCCTTATTTTAGCATGATTTTTACTTGTGGTGGCTGCTGTAGTTGGCTGTGTAGCCGTAATACTTTCACAATTACTCAAAACATTGTAATTAACTGGTTTAATATGTCTGGAGTACCACCACTAGTATCTGGATCATGCTACAATTATTTAATTGTGTGTCATTGATCCTTAGTTAACAGGAATTCTGCTTTGCTCAAGTAATAGGATCTATATTCTTGAGCAGGAGGATCAGATTTCTATCCCCATGTCTATCTTGAATTTCCCAGTGACTGTATCTAGAATGATGACAACCATGAAGCATTAGGTGGCCCGAGATTTGTCAAAATAGCTTTTACTTGTATTATACATGCTCCTGTCTAAAAGGCCAAATTCTCATCCCATCTGAAATCAACATGGTTCAAGATGTGTCTATTATAAGAGGTTTCAGGCCAAAGTATCTAAATGTAGCTTAATTGGCATTACTATCTTACTGTCAGTGTTGTTGTTTTCCTTAGTCGTCAAATCTCCAGTGACTTCAGAGATCTTTCAACGTTGTTAATCCATGGATCTGAGGCCCTTCTAATGTCATTATTAATTGGATTCTTATACTATGGTCATGAGAAAAGCCAGCTATCTATTCAGGATACAATAGCTCTACTGTTTATGATAGGTGCACTGATCCCGTTCACAGTGCTTTTGGATGTTATTGCAAAATGTAAGTGTCTGTCAGTTTTAATGATAATGCTTTAAAACAAACAAAATAATATTTAATTGGTAATTAAAAAAATCTATTGATCATGGGCATGCAATATACCTGTCTTTTTGTTTTGGTTTGTTTTTTTACTGTAGGTCATTCAGAAAGAGCTATGCTTTATCATGATTTAGAAGATGGGATGTATTCTATTACCCCCTACTTCTTTGCTAAGGTAATTGGTTTCAGCTGTCAAGAAAAGTATAACTGGTTTTAACATGAAAAGTAAAAGCCTTGTGTGTGGGTGATGAAATTCTGTTCATACTTCACACTTATCGTGCCTGTCATCTAAAGCTGTCAGCCTGCTTCCCAAACATTTATTAACTAATTAATTAAGCCTCACCACGCTCTTAAAGCATATGTCTCCATAAACCATGAGCCTGGTGCTGGGTCAGAAAGTAGTCAATGTTTAAGACGACCCTTTCACTGGCTACTGTTAGATTGCTGGGGACAGCAGGATTGGTAAGTCTTGCTGGCTGGGATAGGGCAGGAGCTGAAAAAGCCTTAGGTTAGATAGAAGCAGATAAAAACTGAGGGAGTCATTCTCTGCTGTCTCACCAATGAGCTGTCGGGCTGCAGGGGCTACCAAACTTGTTCCCTTTAAGGAAAAATTAACCCTTTTTGCTGTTGGAAGTGCTGAAGTAATCTTCCAGCATTCACTGGCCAGTCCCAAAGATAGAGAAATGGTGGAAGTGAGCCTTTGACTAAGGAAAGCTGCTGTTCATCATTGCCGTCTGTGCTAACTGGTGGGAGAACACGGCCAGCATTACCATTTAGGCAATCAATGTAGAGCTGTTTGTTTTCAATAGGAAATAGTTGTTTCATAGGAAAGAGATATCACTGAAGAGCAAGCACCATCACTTTCACTTCAGGTTGTCCCTGACTGAGGTGGTGGGACACAAAAAGGCTAAGTCCAACACCTGAAGTGTATAATTCAGAGAGCAGTCAGAGAAGTTACAAGTCAGACTGAATGGTTGTTTTCAAAAAGCATTTTTGACATGCTGTTCAGTAAGGAGTACTGGTAAAGTCATTTCTGAGCACAAATGTCATTTACATGATTTCTAGATGTAAACATCTGTGCAAACAAATCAGAAGGCTGGACAACTGAAATCTATTATTATTTCATTTGTTCCCATAAGATCTTCTATTCATAGTTTGGGCTCCAGAAGTGGTATTTTTAAACTTGTTACTAAAATAACAAACCTGTAGTTGGTTCTGAAGCACAACTTGGTCCCACCCATAGGAATTGTTTTGCATAGTTTTACATACCTTTTCTCCTCATGCATACCTCTATGTTGAAGTGCTGTTGTGAGTTTAGTAACATGAAGAGGACTAATCTGTGACACAGAAGAATCTTGGTAAGTGCTGCAGTTCAGGACAAAATGACAATGCTAGGTGCACATGCAACCATTACTCATCTCATCACCTTGATTTCAAATAAAATAAAATAAGTATAAAAAATGACAGAATATGGCAATTTAGTTTTTCAGTTTTGAGGGCCCAGTTTTGTTTGACTCAATAGTGATTGGAAGAAACAACCATATTAAATGTATGGAGCACAGTTGATTCTGAAAAAACCAAAGTTGCTTTTTAAAATATGGATTGCTATTGCCAGAGCTAAGACTAATCTCTTCCTTTAGGAAAGCTCTGCCACCATGGCATCTGTAATTTCAGTTTCCACTCCCACACAAGATTTAAAATACTCTCTGAGGTCACAGAAAACTCCTTCGGGGTGCTTCCCGGAGTGCTGACAAAGCCACTGACACTCACCTTCCTGCTGTCTGGGGCTCCTCACTACCCTGTCTTGATGGGCCAGCTCGCTGGTCTCCTTCAGCCAAGGTACAGAACTGAGATAACTGTCCCCCTTCCCCTGAGTAGCAGTAGAGACACTGAGGGTGCATCTAGACTACGTTCTTCTTTCAAAAGGAGATATGCAAATTTGGTGCTAATAATAATATGCAAATTTCATATCTTCTTCCAATTGCTTTTTCGAAAGCGGTTTGTTCAAAAATGAAAGCAGTTTAGACAGGGCTTTTTCGAAAGAACCCCCCTTTTTCGAAAGAACCCATCAAGTGAAAGCAGTTTAGATGGGGGGGTTTCGAAAGAACCCTTCTTCCTTAAAAAATTTGGTGTACAGGGTTCTTTCAAAAAAGGGGGTTCTTTCTAAAAAAAAAGTCTGAACTGCTTTCACTTTAAAAAATAACCACTTTCAAATAAGCGACTGGAAGAAGATATGCAAATTAGCATCTAATTTGCATATCTCCTTTCCAAAGAAGAACATAGTCTAGATGTACCCTGAAGCTCTTCAGGTCCAAGGAAAATGCAGTTTTGGGTTCAGCTTCCTGGGATACCATGCCCCAAATGGGATCTGAACCCTTAATAAATTGTTTAGGTAAGCCCCCTTTAACAATGAAAGGAGGATGTACACTGATTACCCCTCACCCCAGTAACAATTATTTGCACTGGGCCTGATAGTAAATAAAAAATATTTTATTAAGTACACGCAGTAGGATTTAAGTGGTTGTAAGTGAGAACAGGCAAAGCAAAGTAAATTACAAATTTAAAATAACAAAAAATGCTTAGCTAATTCTAACATTAAAACCTCAGTACAAACTTATGTAAAAAAAACTCACCCTCAAACTTGTTCTTATTCCAGCTAAGCCTCCAAACCAGGGAAATTCCCTCTCCCTTGGTTTTCTGGTTCGCTTTCTTGGGAGTGACATGACAGCCAAAGACAAAGACCCTGCTAAGCTTCCCATTGTTTTATGGATTCCCTTTTACAAGGAGAAGTTATCTGGCCAGTCCCTACCAGTTAGGACAGTCATGTAACTTCTTAAGACCAACCACTGCTAAGAATTAAAAGACAAAAGAAGTGTTTACATATGATTTCCCATTGAGGCATCCCAGCATTGGAACACCCTTGATGGCTTTCATTTGCACATTTAAAACCATAAAGCATTCCATACTCCGTATATCTAACTTTACACACTAGAATGATACATATACCAAAATAAGATACACAGATCTAGTGGATTATGACATGAAGATTGATAGGTTACATGAGATAATTTGTCCAAGGCACCTTTGAGTTAGGCACATCTCTGTCCACAAGTCCATTTTCTAAAGCATGGGGAAGGGGGTATCCGTCACATATTCATCAGTTGTTCTTGGAAAAAATAATTCTTTGTATTTCATATGCGCAAGAAGTTTGTTTCATTTTTATGAACCATAGCAGAAGAGTTATACTATTAAGTGACCTTGAAGTTTATACCTACTTATCTCCCATGGGCAGATTACAATACTGTCTATGTCCTTTAATTATTTATGAAAATTCTAATGTGTTTTGTTTCCACTGGATTAACTAGTTTGCAGACTGTGCTTCCCCAACAACAGGCAAAAATGAAGTTGTTTGTATTTTATGATTTGCAGTATACTCATCTTAAAGATTCTATAAATTTGGACTAAAATACATTTGCAGATACTCATTAGTGGCATTATTGCTATTAAGTTTATGAGAAATGTCTTAGATTCCTAGAAACTGACAAACTGTAACAAAACAAGACATCTAATCCATTTCAAGAAGCCTATCAATTTAGGTGTTAGTTATAGAAAATGTCACAACTAGGAATCGAAGGAAAATTAGCTAGAATCATTCTTTTTCTGATTTTTTTAGCGTCACTAATACCACTTAAAAAGGCGATTGCATTTTAATAGGTTATTTGCTGTTTCTTTTAAAATAAATGTTAATATGATGAAGTGCCGTGATTTTCAGTGTTTTTTCCCCTCTCAACAGATTTTGGGGGAGCTCCCAGAACATTGTGCTTTTGTGATAATTTATGGGGTTCCTATCTACTGGTTGGCAAATCTCAGTCCAGAACCAGGACATTTCCTTCTTAACTTCTTGGCTGTTTGGCTTGTGGTTTTCTGTGCCCGAGGAATGGCACTATGGATGGCAGCACTACTCCCAACACTGCAGTTGTCAGCCTTCTTTGGCAATGTCCTTTTCACAATATTCTTCCTGAGTGGTGGCTTCTTGATAAGCTTAGAAAACCTGTGGCTAGGTAAGACTGGCACATGCATCTCTAACCGACAACTACTTTCAGCTTTTGTAAATCAGGCATTTATGAGGCATTATGGTCTTGTGAATAGAACATGGGACAGGAACTTAGGAGACCTGGGTTCCAATCACAACTCTTCTAGCAGTTTGCAGAATTGGGGTTAACTTATAGATGGACAAGCCAGTTCAATCGCTGTATGCCTCAGTTTCCCCATCCATCTATAAAATGGGAATAATATCTACCATGTTTTGAGACCTATGGATAAAAAAAGCAGTACTGAAGAATATGTATGTACTGTATATTGTTTTTGTTCTGTCCAAGGGTTTTTAAATATAGAAATAATTCAAAGATTAATACCAAAACTATTTGATAAGTTCTAACCATCAGAATGAAAATCTGGAACAGCCTTTCAAGAAGAGCAATGGGGGAAAAAATTTGATAAGTTCTCTTTTCATTATAAGACTATATCATGAGTATAATTTAGCAAGCCTTCAGCATAACATTTAGCATTGTCATTTAATAAATAGCAACAAAATACTAGTTGCTTTGCTACTGGAATATTTGAACTGTCAAGTTAAATATTTAAAGGATACAAATGTTTGGGATATTTAAATAGAAATGTTTAAAAACTCATCATTAGTTTTACTGACAATGCTTATTTACTTTTAGCCCAACTTGTACAACAAATATAGAAGTGCCAATTATATTGTTTATAGTCAGTTTCTAGTCAATATCCGCTTATCAAAGCGGAAGGACAGAGCTCCAATATCAGAACTCTACATAATAAGCTTTAATGAAGTATGTTAAAAAATCATGGAGACTTTTTTTTATTTTATCCTTTGTAAAACTGTCTTTGTTTTTATAACAACATTTTTTTGTCTAACAATCTGAGTATGTCCTCTGTTTTTTATTTTATTACTGTAACAAAGTGGCTGTGTAGTATATTTTAATTGGAAATGTGTAGAAAGAGCTATAATCCTATTTTTGCCACCCTCAATTCTTCATCCAGTTTTGGATACTATATTGTTATGCATGTTGAGTTTGTGTGGACAAATTAATCAAAAGACATCACTGATATGAGGCTGCTGATTCATATAACTTATATGGATATGGCAGGGTTAGATATATAGATTCATTTTGTGTGTTTATATTGAGACATCATTCCTTTCTGTCTCTCTCCCTCCTTCCATCTTTTCCAGTTCCATTTTGGATTTCTAAAGTATCTTTTGTCAGATGGAGTTTTGAAAGCCTGATGCAAATTCAGTTCACTGAACTCACATACCAAATGACTGTTGGAAATGTTACCTTTCAAATTCCAGGGAAACGTGTAAGTCATAGTCTCCCAGAGAGACTGTTACATTTGATAATTTGGGGAATAGTTACTAAGGCAGTTATTATAGTAATTGGTTAAATGATATAAGCCTTGATTCAGCAAAGCACTTAGGGCTCATTGATTTTGCTAAATTGGAGCCATAGTGCATGCTGTTTGACCTTTCATGTAAAGCTGAGCTGCATCACCACCAAGGTTTGGTGGAATTATATAACTGCTCCTTTTCCCAACGAACTCACTGTCTAATCCCATACCAGGCAGAGTGGGGAAATGTAGTTGCCTGAGTTTTGACAGAGCCATATTAAAGGAGTCCCATTCC